TTCAGGCTTTTGACATCGCTAGTGGGAGCCTACTGTGAGCATTTTTATAATGACATAAAATACGATATATACGTATATTCTTTTATTGATCAGCTTACGAAGCAGTTGACCATTGCATATCATTCTCGATGAAGTACAGGAAGGTTGCCTGTAAAGTATGCTCTGCCCTGAACTTTGTCGTAGTAAGAAGAAACACCATTACTCACATGACAAAAGACGACACTTGTCTAAATGAAAAGAACTTCTATACATCACGACAGGTTGTTACGTTCGCATTATACATGAATTATGCCATATTTAGGGTGGTCATTTATGACTTGAGTGATTGTCGAATTGCTATCGGTACAAACCAATACATTTGGCGACGAAAACAAATGAAAATGATTCCATCCGGTTATGCATATCATGACTTATGATATTATTGGATTATTAAATATAGAACATCACACAGAAAATTGAAACTGGGGAAGGAAATTACATTAAAACTTTCAGAGCACTATCTATCAACAGAAAGCGATTCATTGATTCTCTTTAAGGCCGTGCCTCAAACTCACTTCAGCCAGCGATCCACAGTTACTCAGTTTGGCCCCTTTCCCCCCCAGGCTGTATTAGGGCAGAACGTAAAAGCGGGAAGGTGGTTGTGCGTTTGTGCGTACAACCAGTTGGCATCAGAATGAAAAATTAGGTGGGATGGGGTGCTTCCATTTTCTACAAATATTAACGTCACAAAAACGAGGACAGGGAAAAATATAGACTATAGCGCTGACTCGCAACACAAATATATCCCAAAAAGTGGAATAATTAGCATATGAAAAAGCTAACAAAACGAACAATCGTGCATGCCCAATCTGACAAAACAAAGCAAAAGGCTTAGTAACTTTTGAGACGTGCAAGCTACCTGTGAGGTATCAATGCATGCATTTGATAGTGCTGGGGAAGGCTGGCTGATACAGTTATCACCTTCCAGTGGCATGTGAAAACCCTGCATTATTTCGCTTAAGTGCTGTTCTCTGTGGCAATGCAACATTTCTGTTTTATCAAAACAAGAATTTCTAGCACATCTCTGTCACTGAACGGCCAACTGAGAACCTGTGCTATTCTCAACATTACGCACACTGGAAGAGGGTAATGGTATCGGGCAGGCTTCTCTGGCACTATCAGATGCAGATATTACGTACCTCACAGATAGCTTACAAGTTCGATCATTCAATTAGCCTTTTGTTGTATTCTCTCACACTGTGCATGTGTGATGGATCTTACTATTCTTAGTTTTTCGAGATGTTATATATTTCGCTTTTCTTTAATAAAATTCAGTTGGAAATAAGCTGTGAACTTTGTCTTTTGTTTCCCATCCCCGTTTTTGTCGCGCTAATGCTCGTTCAAGATGGAACTTGTCTACAAACGTTTTTATATAAAGAATTGCCTTTTCCGTCGCTCACGTACGTACTGGAGGACATTTGGTGCCAGAATTTTAACATCGAACAACATGTCATCACCGATGGTGAAAATCACTCTATTGATTGATTTGTGGGGTTTAACGTCCCAAAACCACCATATGATTATGAGAGACGCCAAAAAAAAAATCACTCTATCTCTATGCCAATTCTCACATACAGCTTTTGATTCACGGTAATGTTTCAGCACATCAGCTTCTTACAAAAACAATATCTTAAACGAATAATGTCTCTGTATCCCATGAACATACTGATCAATAAAACAAAAACTAGTGGGTTGAAGACAGGCGTGACCAGGCCATGGGCCGAATGCATGAGACCCACGCTTAATATGTAAGCTTGAAAATGTGGAACTTCGAAAATAAATAGTACAGCAGCATAGCCTAAAGCAGCTTAGTTTATGAAAGTAAAGTCACTGTCCTCCGCGGGCGCGTTTCTTCTTCGATTCTCCTCGCCCGCGCGCTGGTCACGGTGCCATTTTTGGCCATGCCTTCACGGACGCACCGAAGAATTGAATAAAGACGTTTGCTTTCTGGCTATTTGCGTGCCCTTGTACAAGAAAAAATGGGGAAATAGTGATCACCAAATCAAGAATACCTAAATGAACGTTATCAAAACAATGGTTTCTTTCAAAAGCCTTGGTGTACATAGAGCATGCTAACTTTAAGTGCGCTTTATGCTGACATATTTATCCAAAGTTATTTGTCCGTGTTTGCCTGCCCTGTTTCTTTAAGAAGAATACTAACCAGCTAACTAATGATTTGCGTTTACATCTAATATATGATTTATCTGTAGTGTGCATTTTTTTTCTAGTGTGCTCCACGCAGGCCTAACGAAGCTACATACAGAATCGCATCTTGTAAAAACTCCGTGCATAGTACATGATACATTTTTGTGTTTATCTGCTCAACGTAAAAGTACCTCTGCGAGGTGTCCTCTAAAGAGAGCAAGGTAGTTGCTCATGTGATCACGATAAAGCTGTGCCAATGACTCATTTACTACAGCGACAGAAGCTCAGGGAAAAGTGTGTCGCTTGCACTAGTGGCTAAAAGCTACAACTAACATGTATATGTATATGTAAATATGTATATGTATAAATATGTATATGTATATGAGTGTTCCACTCAGCTCATTTTTTCTAGTAATGGCAAACATTTGCTAGAGATGACAGGTTGTTACTAGTATATTGACTCAATAAACCCCATTTATACTAGTAGCAATAGGTATGGATAGACTTGGCTATTCTCCGGCGTTGGTTTCCCACACTAAGCAAGTTTCACGTGTTGTTGGTGCGAAGACGTGACGTGAGTAGTCTTTACGGGATATCGCGGGTACGTGTCACGTAAATTGTGATGTTGATTATTTTGATCACGTGACTAGTTGATACTTGTTGCGCGATTCATGTGAATTTATTCACATGACTAGCTGCTACGTCATTTTTTTTATTAGGACGACTTCACGTCACTAGCCATTACATGTCGGTTATGCAACTTTAGTCACGTGATTTGTGCCGTGACTAAGAATGAGGTGAATACATGTTAAGGATTTTAGTCACATAACTCGTTGCTGCATGCTTTTTGAGAGAGCACGTCCGCTGAGAGCTAATAGAGGGTGTTACAGAATTTTAGTCGCGTGACTATTTGTTAGGTGGTTTATGACGGACACATAGCTGTTAGGTGAAGATGTATGATTTTAGTCGGGTATAGTTGGCCATAATGTTAGTCACGTCACTACAAGTTCCGTGATGTTATGTGCTTTAGTCATGGGGGCGTCGTGACGTTATTTTAGCCACGTGACAATTCGCGTATTTTGTAGTCATGTGACAATTTACGTCAGTTCCCTGATTTTAGTCTGTTGACCTCTTGTCACGTGATTTTTGGTTGCCTGATTAGTTTTTAAGCGCTGTTAAGTGATTTTAGTCACGTAGCGAACCCGCGCATTCCAGTTATTTCATTACACGCCATACAAATCTGTGCTTGTATAGAGGAAAAAACGCGTGACTTCTGGAGGATGAAGCAAGCGCGCATAGGTTCATGATCACAATAATTATTGTTTGCACTTCCCTACACAACGAAAAACTTTGAGCGATCCGCTCTTGAAAACTTCGTTTGGAAACCAGCGCCAATAACTGCCACGTCTATTAGTCCAGTGTTTTGTTTGCTCTGCTAAACATTGAGGTTAGAGGGACACTATAAAGGTAACTACTAGGTCAAAGTTGATTGTTGGAATAATGATCCAGAGACCTTGTAGTGTTAGTTTTGTGCCAAGGAAGTCCTTGTTTTGAAATAAAATCATGTTTAAGAGGTTCGCATCAGGTTAGCGTACTTCAAGATATCCGCCTCAAGCAGACCGTCTTACGTCACTGTCGCCATGCACAACGTTGGTCAGCTTTACTGCACGACCACCGACAACAGTAGTAAGACTACAAATGTAGTGTGAGCCACTTCAGCAACAATGGCCATTGAACAATTTCCTGCCATGCTTTCTGAGATAGAAGACCTGCTTATTTCAACTGGGTCCCGCTAGAGAGCAGGAACTATGCAGTTTCACTAGGCGAAGATAGAACTATTGAACCACTCGCTCCAATCCCCATAGCACCGTCCGGTGGCCCTTTTTTTTTACATTAAACATAACTGAATAAGAAGCTGTTTATCAAGTTCATCAATTAAACATAACTGAAAAAGAAGCAGTTTATCACGTATATTGATGCATGGAAGGTTTTTTATGCAGTGCAGCTAGATCAAAGACTAGTGATTATTTTAGACGGTAAGTCTAACGTCACCGAGATCATTTTAAGAATGTCCTACGAGGACCGCATGCGCTCTCGTACATTTTCCTTAATTTCTCGGTAAGTAGGACGCCGCTTTTGATATTATTGTCGGTTTACATGTCGCCATACATTGAGCTTTCACTCTGACGTATTTTATTATTTGCCTTCACTGTCCCTCTACACAGATCCTTACAATAACTGCACGCGTGGTCGAGAATCCGTTAAGAACAGCGTTTTTGTCGAGCCAGAACAATGTTATTCTGGCCAATAAGATAAGGCGATTCCTTTTTGTGCAAGCCATCGCGCTTCCCCTGGGGTACCATAAACAATGTATAACAATTTTCATTCTGGTTGTTACAGTTATAGACGCAGTATCGAGGCCCAGTGTCAGCACACTGCGATGAAGAAAAAAAGCGCTCAATCTTCACTACATGGATCCTCGGTGAAATATGGTTTCAGTGAAAAAGAAAACCACAAGCAAACAGCAAGATCCCTGAGTCATTAAGGACAACCGCGAAAGACACAAATGAATGTGCTAGAAAAGCAGGGAAGAACGGGAGGACGCGAAAGGGGCGAGGATAGAAAGAAGAGGCCGAACACTTGGTGGTGAGTAGAGTGGGCGGCGGTATACTTTTCCCAAGATCTAGGAGCTTTCGCATGACGGTGCTTACCATGATCCTTGGCGAATGTGGGCTCTGCGCGTCTCCTGCAGCAGACGTAGCCCAATACCAAGGAGGCGGCAGCTAGGGCCAAGCACAGAGATGTAACGATGGGCACTAACAGCGGCAGATCCCGTCAGTGGCACCACCGCCGTTCACGACCATCAACTCTGGGAGAACGGTGCCTGTTGCGTGCACAGAAGACACATACGGCAGCATGGTAAAAGAGATTGGGTCAGAGCTACGTGTCGGTCAACCGCAAGCAACCTTACGTGCTATCGTAGTGGCTAAATGCCGAAAGGATGCTCCGGTGACAGCGCGTAAGTTAGAACTAAATGATAAGCGCCTGATTTGTTCCTCCTAGTAAATACTTTATAATTTCACAAATCGCAGACAAAATTCATCAAAGCAAAGACAGAGAAAGCTGTGTGTTCCAACTTTCTACGTTATCTTTTCTTTGGCGGTGCCTTTCTACCCAACTCGTGCCTTCATTAATTACTTACGAAAGCATATTCTGGCGTGTCGAAGTTCATAATGACTTTCGTCGGTATATTTTCACGAGTCATGCTGATTGTGCTGTGTGATAATAATAATGAGGTGACAATGCACAAGTTAGCTATGTCACAGATCAACTCAAGAAATCTAATTGGCACGAAAAACGGTTACTAAGTGTTGTGATATTGCTGAAATATAATTATTACTACCATAACTTTACTGGCGGCAAAGAAGTGCTCATACTGTATTTCTCAACAACTAGTTCACAGTACTATAACCATTCCTGTACTTCTCCGTTGTGCACAATATCTAATTTTGCGTATACTACTCAGAAAGGAACGGTTCATTTCATGTGTCGCCTTGCACAATAACCCTTATTTCCGCACCCCTGTGCAGGATGGCAAACCGGTTACTTCTACCAAGACAACCTCCGTGCGTTTTCCTTTCCATTTATTCATCTCTCTACCAACCACAGAATTAAGACTCTGTAGTTTTAACTTTCTTAATCTTCACATTTTTTTTATTTTCACGGTCATTTCTTTTATCCGAGCTTTGCTCTTCTAGAACATCTTTTGAAACAATTTACAAGTTGTTCTTATCTGCGTATTTCAGCGAGGATTACGCAAAAGTATACATTTGCAATAATATTTTTAATTTCTGTTCAATATTTGTCGGGTTGTCTTTTAGCACTTTTGACCCTGTTTTGTGAATTATTATTAGTCTCGGCGTTTTTTTATCATTCTATTTTTTCTTTTCTACTGAAGACTGCATTTCGACTGAAGACTGCATTGTATATATTTATAGTTTTATTTTCACGTGATTCTGAACAACGACCTTACGATTGTTCGTTGGAACATTAGGAAAATAAGTATTTTTATAGTAACAGTAATAGTAAAGAATACTATATTACACATTTGGTTACAAAATATAAGACAATTTGGGATTGTCTTATAATCGAAAAGAATACTTTCGAAAAATAATGCATCATTTCTGAACAGAACTGTTTTTATGCCCGTTCTCAGATTATCTAAAGATAATCATGAAGCGCTACGCATCTATTACTGACCACAGTACCTGCGACCGTGGCAGAAGCTGGCAAAGTGCGGATGACATATTCGGCTGCGGTTGTGCCGGCATCGGTGTGCGCCATGACACGCAAGTTGTACCAGGTGTCTGGCCGTAAGTGGTGCAGCGTCATGGGACCCTCTCGCGGCTGCAGTGCGCGTGAAGCCACCGTCCAGGGTCCCGAGCTGTCACGTGGTCTGTACTCGACAGCCAGGTGCGACACGGGGCAGCCGGATTGATTCGACGCCCAGGAGGACGGAAGAAGTGTCAACGAGTTCACGTTCGGCGTCACGAAGGCCTCCCGCTTAGGCGACGTTGGCACTGCGTTCGTGTGCCGTGCATTTGATAATATGGTATAGTTTCGTTACACAAGTAGCCATGAATGAGCTCGTTGAAGTTAGCACCGCACGGAACTTTGGTAGCCCCTGGTTTGAGAGCCCTTTTCTGCAGAAGCCGTGTATGTATGTATGTATGTATGTATGTATGTATGTATGTATGTATGGTATGTATGTGTGTATGTATGTATGTATGTATGTAGTATGTATGTATGTATATGTATGTATGTATGTATGTATGTATGTATGTATGTATGTATGTATGTAGTATGTATGTATGTATGTATGTATGTATGTATGTATGTATGTATGTATTTAGTATGTATGTATGTATGTATGTATGTATGTATGTATGTATGTATGTATGTATGTATGTATGTATGTATGTATGTATGTATGTATGTATGTATGTATGTATGTATGTAGTGTAGGTAGGTAGGTAGTAGTATTGTGTGGGCGCGCGTTACGTGGTTTACCTTGCAGTTCACAGCCTTCAGTGAACTTGTTAACCCCCTTCATGTAAACCACCTTCAGGCAACTTCACACAGAGCTGAATAGAAATGGTGCGTAGGTGAGGAAGTCTATCTCAACATTATTTCAGTAAACTGCTGCGCAAAAGCCTTGTTTTAGAGCTCTTTATTTCATGCGTCTTATGTCTCCAGCCATCACATAGTGTGCCCTAGGGACATCACTCGAATAGACTTTGTGGAGCGCGTGCAAAACATGCCTACTATCAGACCTATGATTAGACGTCACTTTGATTATTCGTGGTTATTTTCACTACCCCTTTCTTTCTTGTTCATAGGTCATCTCGATAATCACTTGTCATGCTTAATTCTTCAGTCCTGTATTCTGCCCGCCTAAAACTCAAATCTAGCTAATATTAGCAGGGATTCAACTCTTTTGCACTTCTTCCGTCAACAGCGAATTTGTTTGAAGCATTCGTTTGCTTGTGCTCCATCCTAAATAAATACTATAATCAATATATGTAACGTGCTTTCATCAATCTCTATTCAGTGAGGTTGTACGAGTTATCGCTAAAATGCGCAGCGTCAATGAAAATTCTGATTTTGGTATGCGCCACAGAAATCGGGCAAGCACCATTATTGTTTACAGCAGCCCTGGGCGTCAGAGAAAAGGAACAAGCAAAAGAGAGTGATAGAAATCAACATGTAAATAAAGATAAAAAAGAAAGAAAAATGGATAACATGAAAAAAGCAAGTGATACAAAAAAACGAAGAAAAATCTCGAAAAACGTTAAAGTAGTAAAAACCTAAATGGAATAAAGAACACAAGCACACATAGAGAGAAATAATGGTAGAAAAAGAAGAATTAAAAAGAAATATAGAGACTGAGAGAAATATATTAAAAGAAACAGAAGGGCGTAACAAGAGCGAGAGGGAGAAAGCAAAGAGAGGACAGAAAAATATATAGAAAAAGATCTAGGAGTAGAAGTGAATAGAGTAAAAAAGAAATATAGATAAGCTGATAGAAAAAATAGAAAAAGCAGACAAAATGGGAAATCAAATGAGAAACCCAAAACTAGAGGGAAACGTAGAAAACCACCTTGCCACACTATTTATACAAAGTTCACTGCAGAAGTGCGAGGCAACGTTAATTTTTTCCCTTCCCGTTCGTACTCTTCTCAGCATAACGGTAGCCAACCACACATTTTTTCGTGGTTAACCTCACTGACTCTTGCCTTTTTACTCGCTGTTTTTTTGTATTTAGAGCGACACTTCTATATCGGATTAACCTACAAGCCAACTGACTGACAGGGGACACATTTTCTTACCTCCCCCTTGCGTCCTTGCGAAAACGGTGTCACTGGGCTCGCTGCGACCCTGTCGGCCACGGCCACGATGTAGATGTGGTACTGCGTGCCACACGACAGGCCAGTTAGTTCGTGAGCCAACCAGCTGCTGTTGACGCTAATGGCCGAGGCCAACGTGGACGTCAAATGTGTGTCTCTCGCTCCAGCTTCGCCGATGGATCTAGGCTGCGGTGGAGCCACGCGCAGCAAGTCCCAGGAGCCCTGATGCTTTTTGTAGTGGACCTCGTACTCTTGAATAGAAAATGCATGCTAATGAGTGAGTGAGTAAGTGAGCTAGTTAGTTAGCAGGTGTAGGAGAATGACAGAGATAAATGTGTCTGTATCTAGTTTTACGTATGAACTAATATAACCATGCCATCACAACTCGCCTAATACCATGTTCATACCACCCCAGAATGTTAGCGATGTGACAACAAGGGCCGCTGCCCACAATGTCTTTTATTTTTTAGTGACGGAGGTGGAAAGATTTAACAATAATTTAGGTATGCTTGATAGTGCACTTGTGTGTGTTAATTTGTTTTCTTTTATTCAGTAGATACGATTCAATAATTTGAAAACTTTGGGAGGGTAATCTCCCAACGTCCTTACGCTCGGCTAAGCCAGGGAAGAAAGCTGTACCGTAGATCCCCTTGTTATATATCAGGGCTATGTAATGTTTTCCAGTACAGATGCATTTGAGCACACCTTAACCAATTGTGCAATTGAATATTTACGGTTCAGTAGAGAACACGTGTCTGATGCACGATGCAGAAAATGGCTCACTGTTCGAAAGCAACGAAACCAGGGTAGATGACATGAGAATCAATTATCGCCGGTACAGAAAGAAACACACACAAGTACTTATAGGTTCACACATCATAAGCGTCCTAAGAAATGTTTTGTAAATGTAAATAGATATCGTTCGCAAGGTATAGATTACGCGAGAGCACAGGTCTGATTACGCTAGAAACACGATTTGCGAGGATATTTATTTCTGCTGATCCATCTCGCACGTATGTCTGCAGAGGCACGATGAATGTGGAGACTGGCCACACAGGCAATGTAAGCCCGAGCCCTTGCGCGGGGGTGGCTGTTTTTTTTGTTTTTAACTTGTTAGCGGAGCTTTCAAACTTTCAAGCCTTTAGAAGCGAGGTGCTTACCGTTAGCAGTGGACAATAAGGCTGCAACGAAGCACATATTTTAAAAAACGCACTATGCTTCCCTGCTTAAAGTAAGCAGTGGTGGTTGTTCTCTTATCTGTACGCGTCCTCCTCCTCTTTCGCGTCATATTTTTCTCTCTTTCATAATGGCCGAGATTTCCACCGCATGTTTCATGCTACAACGGTTACCATGCTGCATGCGATTTGCCAAGTTTTTCGATTACACTTTCTTCCAGCAATGTTTCTTTACATATCATTCTTGAACACGGCAAAGTAGTCTGAAAAGAAAATACATACAAAAAAGCTCTGCCAGCTTCTCGTACGCGTCCTTATGTTTCCAAACCTCAAATTGGTACAAGTTTGCGTAATAGTGTAGGACGCAAGACCTTCTAGACATTACCACTATCAGCAAAAAATAACTGTTATGCCTTTCCTTGCTTGTCTTTTGCTGTTCGCTTTCTTACCATTAACATTTCACATTTCCATTGCACCTGCAAGCTGTTGAGAATCGCTAATGGTCTCAGAGGTAGAAGCGGAACGCTGACGATGAGGCTCATGCACAGCCTTTTTTATTTAGCAGAAAAGTGCTTTGTGCTGGGGCTCACCAAGACTTATGTGACGTATTTCTGTGACGTAAATGACAAGAAACTATTGAACACGATCAACAAACACAAGCCCTTAAATTAACACTTTCAATTGTTATTGCTGCTTCAAACTCTGGGCTTTATTTTCTAGAAGCGTGCACCGCTTGTGCTGAACTTTTTTGTGCTTTCTACAGCTCATGTTTCATTTCTTCTGCCCCTTTTTAAGTGTCTTGAGTTAGTAGGGCAAGGATACACTGATTTAGAACACAGGAAACACGGTAAAACTGAGTGAAAGCGAGAGGACACCAACAAAGCGCCACGTTTACTTCCTCACCTCTTCGTACAGTTCTAGCACCATTCTTCAGTTACACACGCCTTGGTTTATTCGACATCGATTAGGGAGGTTTAGAATAGCGTCCCGCAAGCCCTAGTGGTGTGGTCGCTGCCACAGTGCATGCGTCGTAACGCGAGCACCGATCGCGTTCGCGGCCCACCCACGAAAAATCCGAAATAGCGAGCGGCGTGTGCGGCCCGCATGCGGCGCGCAAGCGCTGCTGTGGGGGCTATGTGTAGGTTCCGTGCGTTTCAGTTTGCGGGGCAACTTAAGTATCTAGATTATTCACTTGGAGGGGAAAACATTACTCTAAAACTCACATGGTGCCCGCTATACCCGCAACGCCCACAGCGCCTGCAAAAGTTATTATGAAACTCCCTATTGACTTTTGCTAGAAGCCAAGCATTATTTCTTGCATGATGATATCATGTTCAAGTTTTTGCATTAGTTTACTTTTTCTATAACTATTAAAATTTTGATTATATATAATTCTAAATTGGAGGCAAACTAGTCTATGGCTGCGAAACTATACAAAAAACTAGAAAAGTATTAATTAGGCTGAAAAATTTGGCAAATCCCACGTACTATGGGAATCGATGATATGCGAAGCACGAATGAAGAAGGTCAATAGGGGAGACCCGCTCAAGTTTGCCTGCCGACGCCAGCGCTTGCATTTCCCCTGCCAAAAAAAAAGCGCACAATAGTAGCGTGTTCCGACCCTTCCGCTCCCTTTGGCTTCCACACGTTTGCGAAGCGCGCGCTGCACGTGAAACGTCCCTCGTTCCGCGATGTCACCCCAACAGAAAAAGGAGAACTATTGCTGCGTCGTCAATTGTCACAATAAAGGCTCTGCGCCGTGTCGCCTGTAGGCAGACAGAAATAGGTGCCTTCTTCCTTTTCCTCACGAACCACTAACCAACCTGTCACAATAACCATGCAAACTCGAAGGAGTCGACTCCACCAGTGAAATTCTACCAATTCCCAAACCGATGGTATGAAACAAGCAGACGACAGGAATGGATTAAAGCAGTGCGCCGAAAAAAAGTAAGAAAACATTTTTACTTAAAATTAGCAAGCGCCCAATGCATTCATCATAACGGGTGCCAATTCCTGCGTCACCGTTCTTCTCATCTATCGAGTTACTAGGAGATGCGCGTCCCCATTTTAAAAGTGTAAGTTGCCATAATACTTTCAACTTCCGTCTTTAGAGCAATGTTTAAAAATTGCGAAGAATTGCGTTTATGCTGCTACTATTATTGGATACTGTTGGGGACGTAGTAGTTTACGCTGTGTACACATGTGGTATTGGTGAAGTGTGGTTATATATTTTTTATATCTACGCAGCGCCGATGGCAGTGTGTGGTTGCCGAAAGCTTGGACAATGATTTGTAGCAGACATTTTGTGGGAAACTGCAAAATTGACTCAAGTCCGCACCCGTCTTGTGTACCGACAGTGTTTCCAGTGGCTTACAATAAACCAGCACCTCACGCAGAAACGGCGCAGAGGTATGATAGGCAGTGAACCGCATAACTATCTGTGCAATTTAAAGAATGTTCTGAGGACTGTTGATTTCTGGTTTCAAGCTCAGTGAGAATCCGTTCCGCGTATGTGCAATTATCAAGTAAAGCTAAAATAGAACGGTTTTAAACAAACATGACATTTTCACACTACCACATTTTAGGGGTAAGATTGGAACGCGGTTAGGAACGAGCACAGTAACAAGTTTTAATACGTAGCTATCTCCGTGAAGTTCTCGTATAAAATGTTTCGGTGCACAAAGATGGACACAATTGCTAGTTTTTTTTAATGGGGCATTTTGCCATCGTACATGTTTTCATACAGTTTGATTTCATATGCAGTACTTGTTTTATTTTGTGAATGTAAGGCGTTACTAACAGGATCACTGAAAATCCATAAACGTATACTCATTTTCAGACTTCCTGTATACATTTTATACTTGAAAATGTTAAAAAAATTATCTGTCGCACTACAGATATGCTCGATGTTGATCACCGTACAATATCTGAATAAAAAAAAACTCCAACGTATGAACGTTGTTGTGAACGGCATGATCTAATCTCTGCCATAACCTTATTTTGCTTAGGTGGAAGCGTCATTCTATTAGGGCAGCCAGATCGGCACAAAATTCCGTGGAACATGCTGTGCCGCAAGGTATTGCTCAAGACGACCCAGTAATGCAAGATGAAGAGAACTCGGTTTTCCTCGATGTCTATGACACGCTGTCACGTGATTCAGAATCGCTAGAGACGCCAGTGATGCAATTACACTTGCCGCTGGAGATGCGAAGCTCCCGTTTCAGTGGACACGACCATGACAACTACAAAAAAAAGAAAAAAATGCATTAGCCGTTGTTGCACGTTCGTTGGCAGACACAGTGAACTGTTATTGAGTGTGCAGGGGCAGCCTGAACAATACGGTGCATTTAGTGACCAAAGTAAAATGCCTTTATAGCATTGTGCATCCCCCCCCCCAGATTAGACACACACAAAACAATTTCTCTGAAAGCTGGGCGCTCATCATGATGGTACGCACGCTGCTCATGAACTCGAAGTAGCCGTGATGAGAACGGTGATAATGCAAGGAATGACACGCGAGATAGATGTAAAGTTTCGTTGTGCGTCAGAAAAAAGCCCCAGATAGACGATTCATTTTTCAAGTGCTGTGTATATACCCCACGATAACTTGGGTGGGTGCTAGAAAATTAATGTATCCCAACTAATAGCAGTGACAGCGCAAGAACCGCTTAACCTAAAGCACGAGAAGCGGCCTGACCCATGCGTCTAGTAAGAAACCTAGAGCATAGTACACACAGCAAACCAAATAAAACAGGTATATAGTTATGAACGTACAGAAAGTTGTATTTGCCTCTAACTGCACGTCGTAAACAGCGTCGTCTTTCACTTGCGAAACGCACTTCGCTCTGACGAGGACAGCGTCGTCTGCTACAACTTCCTTTGCATCGGCTACATGGCTGAGCAGACGCTGCCCATTCACCAAATTGCTGCCACGAAAAAAATTGCCCGCAGCTTCCCTCGGGGGAACACTGAGGAGGATGCGGAGCATATAATTGGTTAAACGGGTGTTAAAGTGCGACTTACTTGGGTCGATGGCTAAATTGGTTAACGTGGTTGTGAAATGGGGTGTTAAATTG